TAGGCAAGTTATAGCTCCATAAAAAGACATTATATGTAGCCTAAAATAAAATAAAGCGAGAGAAAGATCACTGGGCAGAACAGCAGGGAGGTGGGGGTGGCCAGAGCTGTTCAAGGGCCATGGCATTGTTGGGGGCCACGGGAGCATTCATCTGACCTTTGGGTGGGAGTCACGGCAAGCACAACGAAAAAAGCCCAGATCGTGTAAATCCAGTAGCAGCTTTGTCTACAAGCAGTTTTTTCTCCCCATCCCTGATCCTTGACTCAGGATAGGAGCTGCTTTAATCAGGGAAGAGTTTTGGTTACATTTTTGCCTTTTTAAGAGCATAGTCACATTTTGCAATTATGTTTCTTTTTGAAACAGTTTCTGGTGCCCAGCACACAGAGCACTGCAAACTGTTAAAAGAATAGGGAAGGGGCAGCCTGAAGGAGAGTGGAGAAGAGTGGGCAGGACGGAGGACCTGCCCCAACCCTGGAGGAAGGTATTGACTCAGTCATTTCCTCTCATCTTCCTCCCATGTGATTCCCAAAGGTGCTCCCACCGTGATATGTACAAGGATGCTTGAGATATGACAAAAAGAAAAGCAATGTGGTCAGTTTTTCACGAAGTCAACTTTTTTCCCACTTGAACAACTGCCCTTTATTCCGTGTCACATATTAATACTTCCTTTTCCTCCCTTCCTTCCTTCCCTCCCTCCCTCTCTTTCTTTTTCTTTTTTCTGTTAGAATGACCTTTCTCGTAAAAGACTACAGCTGTTATAGCAAACAGTAAGGCGGATCCTCAGAAAAATAAAACACCGAAGTACCATATAATCCAGCAATTCCACTTCTGGGCACGTATCCAAAAGAATTGAAAGCAGGGACTCAAACAGATATTTTCACACCCATGTTCACAGCAGCGCGAATCACGACAGCCACAAGGTGGAAACCACCCAATGTCCACTGGCAGATGGATGGATAAGCAGGTTTGGTCTACACACACAATAGAATATCATTCAGTCTTATAAAAGAAGGAGGCTCTGACACCTGCTCCGACAAGGATGAACCTTGAGGACGTGGTGCTCAGTGAAATAAACCAGTCACAGGAGCACAAGTCCTGTGTGACTCCACTCACAGGAGGTCCCTAGAGGCGTCAGATCCACAGAGACAGGAAGTAGCATGGTGGGTGCCAGGGGCTGGGGAGGGGGTGGGGAGTGTTTCATGGGGACAGAGCTTCAGCTTGGGAAGATGAGAAAGTTCTGGATAGGGAGGCCGGTGATGGTTTCACAGCAATGTGAATGCACTTAATGCCACCAAGCTGTGCACTTAAAATGGTTAAAACGGCAAATTTTATGTGATGTGTATTTTACAATAGAAATGTCTTAACATATAGTACATAATACATATATACGATTCTTCTTTGTCAATTAAAAATAATTTTTAAAACATGTGTTAAAGTGATCCTTCCCTTGTGAAAGAATGGGAGCAATTGATACTTTAAGGTGGTGGGATGCTATATTCAAAAAAAAGAAATAAAGAAAAAAAAAGGTGGTGGGGGTAGCGGGGCGTCCACACTTGGCAAAAACAGTAAATGGAATCTGCTGGGTGTTTCCAACGTTTTGGGATTTTACTGGCTCCCTCAGCCCCAGCCTGGGACACTACAGGCTCAGAGGGGTCTGGCCTCTCCCTCTGCCCACCTGTCACCTGCTCCTCCCCTGTGAGCCCACGCCCCGCCCCCGTGCGCATGCGCACGCGCGCGGATGAAGGCGAGCAAGTGCGCAAGCTCCCGGCACCTCCCCGAGTCGGGCTCCGCCCCTTTCCCCAAGGGGAGGCGGCCACGGGCTTGTGCACACGGGCCGCGGCTGAGGGGGCGGGGCCCGTGGAGGCTCCCGCGTTCGCTCTCGCGAGAGGCCGGCGCGCGATTTCGCGGCTGCCCCCTCCCCGCCCTCGGCCTCCCGGGCTCCGGCTGCAGCGTCAGCCTTGCTTGGGCCTTGGCGGCGGCGGCGGCTCCTCGGCCTGAGCCCCCGGCGTCCCTCGGCACCCCTCGGCCCCGGCCCGCAGCGTCGCCCGCCCTTGGCCGCCCCGGCACCGGCCTAGGCCGCGGCTGCAGCCCCGGGCTCGCGTCGGCGCCGCCCGCTCCCGGCCCGCCCCCTATGGGCCCCGGCTAGAGGCGCCGCCGCCGCCGGCCCGCGGAGCCCCGATGCTGGCCCGGAGGAAGCCGGTGCTGCCGGCGCTCACCATCAACCCCGCCATCGCCGAGGGCCCGTCCCCCACCAGCGAGGGCGCCTCCGAGTGAGTGCCGGGATCGGCCGGGTGTGGACGGGGGAGGGTCCCCGAGAGGTGCGGTCGGGCCAAGGGGCGGTCCCTGCGGGAAGACGACGGGGTGTGGGGTCCCCAGTAGCGAAATCAGGGTGATGGGGTCCCTAAGAGGAGAGGACAGAGTCAGAGGTCCCTGAGTAGTGAGATCGGGCAGAGGGGAGGTGCCTGCTGGGAGAAGACGGGGTGTGGGGTCCCTAAGTAGCGAAATCAGGGCGATGGGGTCCCTAAGAGGAGAGGACAGAGTGAGGGGTCCCTGAATAATAAAATTGGGCCAACGGGAGGCCCCTACAGGAACAGACAGGGTGTGGGGACCTTGAATAGCAAAATCAGGGTGATGGGGGGGTCTCTGAGTAATGAGATCAGGGCCTGGGGAGTCTCTTTGGGGAAAAAAGATGGGGTTTGGGGTCCCTAAGTAGTGAGATGAGGCCTAGGAGAGGTCCTTGCAGAGAGAAGTTGGGTTAAGGGTTAGGGGTCAGGGTTAGGGTTAGGGCCCTGGAGTTGTGAGACTGGGAGGGGGGGTCCCTGAGAGGAGAGGATGGGTGGGGGGATGCTGTAGGGGTCAGGGCTGGTGTGGGGTGTCCTGAGTAATGAGGTCCCAGGGAGGCATCTGGGGGGAGGAGGTGGTAAGGGGAGCTCCTGGGTGGTCAGGACAGGTTGAGGGGTCTTCTAGGGGGGCAGTCCCTTTGGGGCTAGAGTAGGGTCAAGTGAATCCCTGAGTAGTAAGGTGGGGTAGGATGAGAGGGTGCCCCAGGGGCCAAGATGGGGTGGGGACCCTAGGGCCCTGGGGTGGGGGGTCCTTACAGGAGCAAGATAATGGGTAGGGAGGCCTGAGAGGTGAGGACAGGCATCCCTGAGGGGTCGGGTCGGGGTTCTCTGGGGGCAGTGGGGGAAGGGAGACTCAGAGACGCAAGGAGAAGCTCCCACTGCCCGCTGGTGGCGGAGGTGGGGTGTGTGGGGTGCCCTGAAGCCGGGGAGCTAGGTAAGGAGGCTGGGAAGCAGGAGTGAAGGGGGTTGGGAGGGGCCGGCGCATAGAGGGGCCTGCTGGGATCCCCGAAAGCCGATGAGCAGATTCTAGAGGCAAATGGACCAGAAAAGTCCTCCAAAGGCAGGGCTGGCTGAGTGTGGAAGGTTTGAGGAGACCAAGGGTGGCAGGAGGACTTGGGGGGCTCCCGAGAAGCCAGGGGAAGGGGTCAAAGGGGCATCCCAGGGTAGTGGGGTGACGCCGAGGCAGAATGGTGTCATGCAGGAACAAGGGAGGTGACTTCTGTGTGCTGGGGGCATACCCCTGTGTTCCTGTTCTCCATGCTGGAGTGGGGCAGGACAGTCCCCGGGCCCCAGGCGAGGTCCATTCATTGTACTCATGGGGTGACCCGTGAGAACCAGGTGTGCTGGGCTTATGCCGTGTATGTTGGGCTCACCTGCTTGGGGGCTTGGCCTTCTGTGACCTGGATGAAGAAGTTGAAGAAGAGACTTTGTTGTTGTTTTCAGAGGCAGGGTCTCACTCTGTCACCCAGGCTGGAGTGCAGTGGCGTCCTCACAGCTCACTGCAGCCTAGATCTCCTGGGCTCAAATGATCCTGCTGCCTCGGCCTCCGGAGTAGCTGGGACTACAGGTGCCACCACTCTCGACTGATTTTCTTAAACATTTTTTTGTAGAAACGGGGCTTTTCCTGTGTTGCCCAGGCTGGTCTTGAACTCCTGGCTTAAGCGATCCTCCTGCCTCGGCCTCCCAAAGTGTTGGGATTACGGGCATGAGCCACCGTACCTGGCAGAAGCAGACTTAATGCATACGTGCGCGAGTTAGTATCGTCACAGCCAGACAAGGGGACGCGTTCCTTATGCTTACGGGGCAGCCTTTTCTTCGCGTTCCTGCCTTTTATGTGGTGTCTGATTTCCAACCATTGACAAATTCCCCCGGTGGAGGGAGCCAGCCATAGGGATTCCAGGGTTGGTTTTTTGTTTTTTTGTTTTTTTTTAATATGACCACAGTTGAATTGCGCTAAATTTAAGACGGATTAATCAGCCGGCTCCGGAATGCATTTTCAATGTCTCGGGCAGTACTCGAGCCCTTCCGAGCCTGGCCTCAGAAGCCGCCTCTTCACCCCTGCGGTGAACAGCCGCATCCGTTCACTCCCTCACATGCGTTCCCTGCCTTCTCTGCTGCCTCTCGGCCCCTCAACGTCACTTCTTCATCCGGGTCCTTGTTCGACAGGTGTTCAGCGAGCACCTACTAGACCCACAGGGGGAACTCTAAGATGAGCAGGGTCGTGAGCGTTGCCGCTCGCTTGTGTTGTGTCGTGACTTCGGGCAAGTTACTTAAACCCCGTAAGTCTGTCCCCTCCTGCCTGAGCCGGGGCTACCCGAGACTTGCCTCCCGGGGCGATGGTGAGAATGAGATGAGATGGCGTTTGTGCAGCCTGGGATCCGTGGAGCCTGCCCCTGCCTCCCAGCCAGCCCTCTGCAGCTCCAGCGCTGGCCACATTGCCGAGCATCAGGTCACCCCGATTCTGGCCTCATGGCCCCTTGGCTCACATGTCTGTATGTTCTAGGCTAGCAGTGGTTGAACTTCAGGACTGGATGTTTCCTGGTGGGAGGTCGTGCAGTCTGTGGCCTTAGCAGCTTCTAGAATTGGTGGCCGAGGCCCACCAGAGGCAGCCCATTCTCCCCGAGAGACTTTTAGAGCCACACTGTCTGGTCCCGGAGCCCCCACACAGCCAGCACTTCAAACGTGGCACCTCCAAATTCATGAGAGCTCTGACTGAGCACAACACGCACGTCACAGACTTCAGAGGCATGCAAAAAACGTAAACCGTTAATTTTTATATTGGTCGTACATGGAAAATGATAATATTTTAATGGGTGAAATCAGTTTTGCTATTAAGTTAATTTCACCTGTTTTCCTTTCTTCACACGGACACTCGAAAAGTTTAAGCCACACAGATGGCTTACAGCCTATGTCTTTGGACAGCACTGGGTCAGCCCTTGTGTATGTCGAGCTGAAGTATCTGCCTTTTACCCGGAGCTGCTTTTATTCCGGGACCTGGTTCAAAGTCAAGGCATTTGTGAAAACAGTTTATGGTCAAAATTGCCTTTGAAAATTCAGTGAATCACTCAATAAATGGCATTGTACATGGTCAGAGTTT